TTCAAACCTATTATAACTTGATCTATATTGGCAATGACGGTGGTGAGTTTGGCTTAGTTTTATATACCATCATCACTCATTAATTTAATGAGGTAATATATGGGGAAACAAATATTGCTGTTTTTTATAGGTTTCTGCAAAGGCTATTGCCTACCCTTTTGACCTCCTATATTCAATGCTGTCTACTACTCTGAGCTGCAAACTGGGAGATACGTCAAGAACTACAGTTTCTCACAGGGCTTCCATCCAGTGGAAGAGCCAGGTAAACCTGGGAGCACATGTAAGAGCCACTTGATCCAGATTTCAGGGATGGGGACACCCCAGAGGAAGTGACATCTAAGCCAAAGTCTGTGACAGTGATGATGTGCTAAACACTCTGCACTCTGGGTTTCCCTAGGGCCTTCTCCTCTGTGCTCCCCTCATACCCCGAGTTCTCCTCTAGCTACAGTGACCATAAGTCCTGGTTTGCTCTGGACAGTCCCAGTTTATCTGCTGTTCTGGCATAACTATTAATAGTGCCCCCTTACACAATTACCCTTCCTTTAGCCCTGGCAGTCCCTGGCTTGCAAGTCTGGCTCCCCCATGTGACTCAGCTCACTGAGGGCTGGAGCTCAATGTTATTCACCTTTGTATCCATAACATGGGCTCTATTTCATTGACCTTTGTATCCATGATACTTAGCCTGGTGCCTGATGCTAAATAGATTGAGCACCACAGCTGTTCAATACAATATTTGAAATTAGAATGAAAAGTAAATACGAGACAACAAACTAGATTTATGAATCTTACATTATATTAGATTCCTGGTTCCACTTTCACTAGCTGTGTGACCTTCTGAGTCTTAGGTTTTCACCTGAAAAATGGGGGTAACAGTACCTTCTCATAGGGTAGAGAAACTTAAATGAGATAGTACAGGTAAAGTGTTTTAGCACATACCTGGCATATATTGAGCACTGTTAGCAGCAGCTGCTACCGTAGAAAATAACTAGTCCTCCTGCTGCTGAACCCTGCTTTGCTGTAAGAAAATTAAATCAACACCTAACAAACATCCAGTAGGGACTCAGTAAGTGTGCACTAAATGAATACTTAGTCTCATACTGGGTGCTGGCTGCAGACCAGATTCTTGGATTACAAGATGCATTAATCAAAATTATTATTTAGAAGTCACAAGTTTTGACTCCTCTATGTCCAGTTTTAATAACAATTTTTAAAAACCTCCACCTCATATACATAAGCACAGAATACACAACACAGCAGCACTACGGTTGTATCCTAGATGTGTTAATTAATAGCATTTAAAGCTCGCTCTTGTTATAACTATACCCTCTTTTAAAAGTTACTCTTATATAAGCATGCCAACTTGGATATTTGGGTCCATCTCTTCTCTTTTTCAACTATCAGCTTCTCAAGTTTTATGTGATTAATGTATATAAAGTAGGAAGGCCTAAGATTGAGTCAACAGTAGTTTTCTTGATCCCCCAATTACAATATCCTCTTTGCAGTATATCCTTGTTGAACATTTGGAATGAATTAAGACTTTAAACTTCCAGATGTTTAAACTACTACTGTAAATTCAAACTCATTAAAAAGGGGCAGATTTACTACCTCTACTTAGTTTTGAAGTCTGTTGTTCACCCTATCCAAATAATTTATGAAACCAAATACAGTGGTAGGTAAGTGTATTCTATTTATACAGTATTCATGGTGAGAAATAAGGGGTATAAAAAAATGTCTGGAAATTAACTGCCATTTTAGCCAACCTATAGATCACACTTATTGCTGTTTCTAAACTAGTAATTGTTTCCTGAAACTGATCTAGTAGATATTTTATGCTAATCTATACTAAAAATTACTTTGCTTTTTCTGGCCACAGAAAGCTGGCTAGAGGACCATTTGATTACGGCGAGAATACAGCTGCACCCACTCTTGCGAAGTAAATGGACCTCGATCTACAGTTCTTTGTAGTGTCTTGGCAGGCAAATAAATGTGGCAGCACTTCTACATCCAGTTTGTAAAGTCTCAGAAGTTTCAGCCTTTTTTTTTTTTTTTTTTTTTTTTGCAAGGAACCTATGTCGACTATAATGAGTGCATTTTAGAGATGTTGTGCTGAAAGCTGGCAGTGAATAAAAGGAGCCTATTCCTAAAGCAAATATTTATTTTACAAACCTTAAGAATGAAGTGGCTTTCACAATCAATTTTAAGATTGAAGGATTGGATTGAAGTGCCTGGCTCTGGCATTTATTAGGTATATAATTTGGGGCAATTAATTTACCTCTGTGAGCCTGATTCCTCAACTGAAAAATGGGGATAGTACCTGCCTGAGATTTTCTGAGAACTTGAATAATTCAAGGTGCTTTGTAAGCTCTCAAGTATCATATAAATATTAATAAATACTAGGAGCACAATATTCCTGTGTTTTACGAATTGCTCATTTTAAATAGCTCTTAAAAAGTGGCTGCCTCTAATATGAAACAAAAATAAACTAGATCTAACTAAGTTACTGCAGAGGAACTGGCCTCAAGAGGAGGGCTCTTTCAACTCAGCCAACTACTACTTACCTAACAGGAATTATTCTGAGTTAAATGAAAATTACATAAAATTATTAATAAAGCATTTGTTCTCATTTCTAGATAACATCCTACATTAGGCTTCAACTGCATAACTTTTTTTCCCCCAAAATGAAAGATGTCAAAAGCAAAACTTTCTGATTCGATATACTAAATCTTTAATGTATTTCCTAGTACATTTTGCAAACTGTTTAGATATGATACAGAACTTAATTTCTTTAAATAACTGCACAACACTTTCATGGATACTATTATTTTCCTTTAATTTCAATAAATCTGATTTAATGAAGTCTATAAAGTTTGTGTGTGTGTGCATAATTATAAATTAGTAGTCCTGTGGGCTAACTCTAGGCTGTAAGCTGAGTCAGAAAGTGCATCTGGTATTGCCAGATTTGTGGAATAGCCATTATACCTACCACTTCCTAATTATTTCATCTGTGAGACTACAATTGTCTCAACTTATTATCAAAGATCATAGTTTGTGAAAATGCCTTTTAACAAATTAGGGTTTTTAAGCTTTCAACAGATTCCCGAATTAGAGAATATACATAGATTATAAAAAATAAAACAAAAAACCAAATGATGGGCACCTTAAAAGCTTAATGCTTGCTGCATAAATGTACAAAATTGATTTTCCTCACCAAAAATAACAGCAATATTTTCTGTATTATTTCTAGATAAACCACAAAAAACACTTTAGGCTTTTCAGGTTTTGCTTATAAATCAAGATGAGGCAGTAGATATAGTCATGGAAAAAGACAGAAGAAAACAGACAAGTCAGTTGTCATTATCCATGGCCTCTGATTCTGTCTTGACCATGAAGCACAAGTGTTCAATATATACCTGCTAAAAAGCATATGGAGATGTAGGCTCAACAAAGGAATGTAAACAGTAACCACCAGATGAGGAACAATGGCAGGCTCTTCCATTCAAACTTTAACTGTAACTTGTTCCTCTAAGTTTATTTGATAAAGACAAAATCTACACTGAAATCCTTATTTGGCGAGTTCACAAGTTTCTCTCTCTGTTAATTCCCTTAACTGTTCATTACAGATTTTCAACAACATACTTAAAACTCCCACTAGTCAAAGGTCAATTGTGGGTTTCAATGTAACATTTTATCAAACGTATTCCTTCCTCCCACACCTCCTTAAAATTTATTTCTTCAAAGAATTTATAACTCAATACCCGACAAATGGATCCATGGTGATAATAAATGTTATGTCTAAAATGACTTATCTAAAACAGTTCCAGAGTACCACTAGCAGAGACCACACAGAAGTGAAACGTGGCACTTTCAACGCTATCTTCTGGAAGAACAGATAGGTTTTCAAAGCATGAGAGTTCAAACAGGGGCCATTTAAATAGGAAGATTATCAATGGCTAATGTACTCAATAGGAGGCCCACAGGCAAAGATATTCAGTGGTTAAGTGGCCTACATACACCTTACAGATATTCTTCCAGATATCAAACATAAGAGAAAGCTTATTTTTAAAGTCTCTTAGGTATTTACAATGGTTTCTGAATTATCTGTAGGAAGCTCTGACTTAGTTGTATAGAGTTTGATATATGTGTCCACCATTAAATCCAGATCATGTTTTATATCAAAATTTATGTTAAGCAAAGCCAAGTTACTTGACCTTTGGTCTGTCAAAGTGTTCCTCAAGTATGCTTTGAGACGCTTTCGTCCATTTTCATAGCGCTCATTCTCAACCTTCATCACAGGAAGAATACATAGGACCTTCAGTAATGCATACACATTAGGGAAAAACTTGATGTCAGGCAGATGGAGGGCTTCATAAATGGTGGATGGAAGTTCTATATCTTTCCCTCTGTGTTTCCATTTGATTCTCCAACAATGAAGCTCGGCTGAGAGTGTGTCAGGATTGGGTAAGTCACTTCTGTACATGTCAGCATGGTGTTCTTCTGACGTATTGAATTTCAGCTGTCCCATGACTGAGGGTACCAGAGATAAGCATTTAAGAGCTTTGAGGTGCTGTTCTGAGAATATATCTTTAAGTTCCTGAATAATATGCTCCACTGTTGGAACACTTAGGGTTTCTTTATAGTAACTCTCAGAGGTTAGGTGAGATTCCAAGTTACCTTGCTGAGCTCTGAGGAATTTCCCAGGGAGTTTCATTTGAATATCAAGTTTGGTTGCCAAATTTGTGGCTTCCTCAAACCAAAACTCATGATAAACTTCAATATTTTCCATCACTTCATTGAGTGAATGCAGTACTGCAGTTAAGCTACTGGCTGCAAAAAAGACATCGGAGGTTTGCCCCTGGAGATTTTTCCCAAAGGCTCTTGTAAAAGATAGGACATTTTTGGAGATTTTTTCCCAAAGGCTCTTGTAAAAGAGAGGACATTTTTAAGAACAACAATGGTAACAACAAAATCAAAATCTGTTATTGCACTACAGAGTACAAATTCTCTGCCAGCTATACAATTATTCTATCTAATACTTGTGTCACTATTTATACCATCTAAACATAAACCAAGTGCTTGCAGGAGGTCCACTAAAATTTCAAAAGCATCATGCCTGCCTGTCCACTGAGAATGGCAAATTTCCTTCAGTTCTCTACTTCTTTCTTCACTGTTCTGAAAAAGAACAGAAATCACATTGTCAAGTTCTAAAAGCAGTTGTGGTGATTGATGGAAAAAAGAACAAACTTCCTCAATTGTTCCCAGTGCAACAGACACTCCCATAACAGGGACTGATTTTGCCAACCACATATTTAAGGCACAGGAAGAGCAAAGTGTGTAGATAGCTTGGGGATATTTCTCTAAAAGTCTAGAAGCAACAACTTTCATTTTGGAAGAAAATCCACTAGACACAATGTAAGCTTGGCCACGACAATACTCCATGTTTAGGCCCCACTTCTCAGTTATTGTAGTGTGAAATTTCACAGCCAAAATTTCTGCATCAGCTTCATAAGGCAGGAAGCCCACAAATTCCTCTCTCAGATTATGAGATTCATCGACAAACCTCACCAACACAGGTAGGTGCTCCTCTCCTGCTATGTCCACTACATCATCAGTGATAATAGAAAAGAAGTGTGAGTCTCTTACTTCCCTGAGAGTTTCTTCCCGAATACAGCTCTCACAGATCTCAAGCATCTGTTTCTGCTGTGTTTTCGAACAGAACAACGTGTTAACTGCTGTTGTCTCAAAGCGCTTTCTCAGGACCTCTTCACCAGAATTTATCCGGCACTCCAGCAGTGCTTGAAAGTTATCAGGAGTAAAGAGACCTTCTGGGATTTCATCAGCCTCATGTCCATCCAGAGGTATGTTTTGTTTTCCCATAAGAATCAAAATTTCAAATAGAGATTTTAAGTATTCTTTGTTTTCCTTCTCTTCAAGGGATAGAGGTAAGATATCTTCATCGTGTTCTTCACCCCCTTCTTCTGCACTGGGGTTCTGAGCATTACTGTTGTTGGTTTCTTTATGTTTTTGTTCCTGTTCAGAAGTTTCATCAACTGGAAAACAAAGAATTAATTTTAGATACAGGCGCACAAGAAAATCATACAAAACAAACAAAAAAATACATTTTTGATCAGTTAAATACTAAAAATCCAGAAACTCAATTCATTCAACATTCACAGGGCATCTACTGGACTACAGACTAGGATATAGAGATTAAAATAAGACGCACTCTAGTTGGAGAGACGAATGCCGTAAACAGATATATTTTAATCTTACACATAATGCTGTTACAAAATAGGAACAATTTTTTATAAACTTAACAACAAGGCATTTCCCATATTATACAGAGTAATGAAAAACATTTCATGCCCTCAAAAAAAGGAAGGGGAAGAGAACTAATATCTACTGAGGCACTGTGCTTGGCATTTTATATGTATCACATTACTCTTTCTTCAGGCAGGTGGTGGTAGCAATCCCATTTGACAATGAGTACAGTAAAAACTGTGCCCAAGGTCATGGATACAGTTAGAAGGGTGGAAATGAAATTCAAATCCAAGCTTGTCTGGATCCAAGGTCCATACTAATGCTGTTGCTATCAAACCATTAAGTCACACTTTTATACAGAAGATGAGAAGCAAAACAATATAAAGTAGATTCACTTAATTTTTAGGAATAATATTACAGTATTAGAAATCTTAGCCTAATCTCTTCATATTTAGATGGGAAAACTGAGGCCCTACAGGTTAAGTATCCTGCCCATAGTCATACAGTGGTGGCTCCAGGAAAAGAACCAAATCTGAGGAATCACAGAACCTAGTTCTTAGAACATAAGACTATGAAAGGGCCACCAAGAGTTGTACAGTATCATGGGATAGAGGGGAGGGGGAGAAAAACAGAAAAATTCAGAACAAAGATGATGCACTGATAATGGCAAGGATAAGGAGGACATGAACAAGGGAGGGCATTTCAGTTGGCAGGAAGTACTCCAGTAAAAGCACTAAGGTGGAAGAGGGAAGAGGTTGTCCAATTAAAGACTGAGCATCCTTAATCCAAAAATCTGATATCCAAAACCCAAAACTTTTTGCGTACTAACATGATACCACAAGTAGAAAATTCTACACCTGACATTATTTTTTTCGCTGTTTTAATGGAATCTCATATTTTTTACTGTTAAGTATTATTAAGTGTGAACAAGTATAAGAAAATGATGGTTTTTCGGTAGCATATAAATTCAAAGTCAGGAATGATGGTGATGCCAAACAACCACAGATTGTTCACATGGGTGGCTGAGATAGCGGATACCTTTGCTTTCTGATGGTTCAATGTACACAAACTTTGTTTCATGCACAAAATTATTTAAAATATTGTATAAAATTACCTTTAGGCTATGTGTATAAGAAACATAAGTAAATTTTGTGTTTAGACTTGGGTTGCATCCCCAAAATATCTTATTATGTATATGCAAATATTCCAAAATCCAAAACACTTCTAGTCCCAAGCATTTTGGAAAAGGGATATTTAGCCTGTACAAAGTGAAATTTACTCTGACTGGAGCCTGTGTAAGTCATGTTTCTAGGCATCCCCGGCCCTTCAGAGCTTTGTCAGGGTTCAGCAAGGGCAGGGAACATCCTTCCCTCACCCCTCCTCAACTCAGAAGACACTGCTATTCATCATATATTACAGAGCAGTGGTTCTATGCTACATAAGTTTTCCCAAGTCAGAAAGTAAGAGGTCATCCAGATTGCCTGCTTGCCTGCCTCCCTCCCTCCCTCCTCCATTACTTCTCTTTACTTCTAAACAACAAGTACTAATTCTGTTGCTTGTTTTTGGGGGGTCCCCCCACAAAAATGGTCATAAAGAGCAAAGAGTACAGAATAAAAGTACATCCCTCTCCTTTTAGGCATCTTTCCATATGCAAGTCATAGGTATCAAGTTTCTTGAGTTACTTGAATCCATTCCCTTTTCTCCACCCTCTCTACCAATGATTTGAATTCAAGGCCTTTCAACTTTTATTTGGTCTGCTGACAGCCTAACTGGCTTCTCTGCCTCCTGTGTTACCTTTTCTTTTTTTTTTTTAAGTTTTTTTATTATTATTATTATTTTTTTTTAATTTAATTTTTATTTTTTGTGACCGGTAAGGGGATTGCAACCCTTGGCTTGGTGTCGCCTGCACCGCGCTCAGCCAGTGAGCGCACCGGCCATCCCTATATAGGATCTGAACCTGCAGCGGGAGCGCCACTGCACTCCCAGTGGCGCACTCTCCCGAGTGAGTCACAGGGTCGGCCCAATATTATTATTTTTTTACATTCTAAGATGTTGTTGCAAAGCAGTTGGGCGTAGGGAGAGTCAGGGAGGGGGAAGGAAATAGGAGAAGGAAGAAGGGGGGGCATGGTTGAGGCCCATGGCACGCCCCTCATTCCTGCAGTGGAGACAAGGGGGCTTCCAGTGGTGGCTTGGTTGTCGCTGGGCTGGTGGCAGATGTTGGGGCGCATGGCTGAGGCCCTTAGCCCCCCACTGCCCTGGCTTGGGAGCCCAGGGCATTTACTGTGGTGGCTCGGCGGTCATCGCTGGGCTGGTTGTAGGTGTCGGGGGACATGGTTGAGACATGTCCCCAGCCCTCCATGCTCCCTGGCTTGGGAGCCTAGGGGCTCCCAGTCCTTTTAAGGTTTTATAGGTGTTCTTTGGTGATGTGAGACCTTTACTAGTTAATATCAAACTTTGTCTCCGATCTGTGGGTATTGTGTTTTTTCTTTCAGCTCCATGTTGGATTATTTGCGGTTCCCACCACTTAAACTCTGCACTGGAACTAATTTGTTGTCCTTTGGTTACTTCTAAAATGGAGAAACTTCCTGTGGGGACCAGCACTTGAGCCCTGTAGTTGAGCTAAATTGCTGCTTTGCCGCTGATTCCCTGGGAAAGGCTTTTTGTGCAGCTCAGATTTTAATGGTTGACCTTGTATGTCCTTCTGGGTCTTGTGAGTTCCAGAACACCTAGGCTGTGTGGAAACTCTCGTGTGGGCCTGAGACTTTTCAGCAGACTGCACTCCCTGCAGATCTGTATTCCTGACAAGCCTCTACTGAGTGGTCCTGCGCTGATTTGGGGGACAGATCAGCTGTCCATGCTGTGCCCCAGTGTTCCCCCAGTGGATCCATCTCCCCCACTACCCATACTCCAAACACTTCCCATGGGACAGGCCGTGCGCCAGTCCCTTGTGATGACTCACCGGCCTCTGAGTGGCTCCTTTTTTCAGTTGTTGTGGCTCCTCGCTCCTATGTGGGTCCAAGGGAACCCTGTTAGTGGTCTTGTTGGCCTGAGGGCCACCAAGGCCCTCCTCTCCCCTGCCGCCTCCAAGCAACTTCATGTGAACGGCACAGCTGCAGCTTTTGCCAGCTCTTGCTCCATGTGCTCACCAGCCCCAGCCTTGAAGTGGACAGGATTCGAAATGGTGGGAGCGATCCTTTTTTTATCTCATCGTGGCTTCTCCCACCTTCATGAACTGCGTAGGTCTCTCCTCCTCTTCCCCTGAGCTCTAGTGGCCCCAATTTGGCTGTCGTTGCTTTTTAATAGTTGTAAATTGGTTGATTTGTGGAAGAGAGTGATGCTGGGGACCATCTATTCCACCATCTTGACTGGAAGCCCAGTATTGCCTTTTCTAATCCATCAGAGTGTTCTATGTAACATGGAAATCACCTACATACAAATCCCTCAATGGTTCCCTATTGCCAATAGTCTGCATCCCTGCAAGTTCTGCCATCTGTGGTCTCCTTGGGGTCCATTTTCTAACCATCATAGGTTATCAGAAACTCCTACACCACCAAAATGAGAGTAGTTCTCAATCTAGCACCCTGTTTTATGCCACTCTACTTCTGCATAGAATACCTTTCCCTCCTTTCTTTGCCTGAGTCCAGGTCTCCTCATCTATAAAGGGGGAAAATAGTACTTACCTCAGAGCTACTGTGAGAATTAAATGAATGAATGTAAGTAAAGCACTTAGAATAAGGACTTGGTTTCAGTAAACATTTAATAAAAGGTTATGTTAATAATAATAAGAGCAGTAGGAGGAAGAGTAATAGTAATAGCTGACAAGAACAAAAAACAACTTCTAGCCCTCATCCTTTGGTGACACAGGTCAGGCATCACCACCTACAGAAAGACTGTTGGGACCACTACCCTCAGTGGCACTAAGTGTCCCCATAGCATTTATTCCTTAAGCATTTACCAAGAAATTATTATGCACCACAAATTGGGTGGACAGAGATTCAGTGCCTGTCCTTACTACTGCCCTTCCTTCTCTATACTGGGACATTCTGTCTGTGTGCCTGACACTCCTACCACATTGAGAGCACCTTGAGAGGAAAAAGGGTCACCTCTGTGAGGCCTGAACATGGCAATATGTGTGGCGCTCAATAAAGACAAACTGAACTAAGACTTGAATCTCACAGACAATTCCAGACTACAGAACACAACCACACTCTTACACCCATTCTCAAGGCAGGTTTTGGACACAAAACATAATTATTTGTCCTTACCAGGTCAAGGCCTTTTAAAAAGGCATTCAAAAGTTGAGTCATTAACACTATCACTTACTTTTTTTCTGTTTCAGTGTCCTGATTTCATCTTCACTCTAAATGACAAGGAAAAAAGAAAAGAAAAAATCATCTTTAAGAAAACTGACCTCTAGTATATCATCTTAGACTCATAAATAAGAAAGCCTATTTTGAGCCAAATTTAATTCTTTCAAGGGCATAAATTCTTTATATGAAATACATTCAACAGACAGACAGATGACGGGAATACCAGAATAATTTGCTAAGGACTCCAAGCTTATAGAGGGGAAAGAATACATCATTTAACTTACTTTCTCCCTAAATCATCATAACTTTGGGTTACAAGGGTTTACTGGCTAATAAAAGGGATGAAAATACACCATGGCCCTTGGGGTCAAATTCTAGAGAATGAAAATCATCTCCCTTCCCAACCTAACCCTAGAGATGCCACTTTAAGGGGGAGGTTGCTGAATGCCAGAAACTAACACAAAAGTGATTAGAAATCCCTGAGAAGCAGAAGGAGATAAAGTACCAGCAATGAAGAGAAATGGATGCACAGAACAAAGTGGACAAGTGGCACAGACAGGATTAGAATGAGGAAGAACTTCCCAGCTGTGTCCTTTACTCTCCCTCCAAACCTCTACAATGTTTAGATCACAACCCCCCATTACTATCTGTGGCAGGAAAGCAGAAGTACCAATGACAGCTTGAGACAGCAGGATACCTGCTGGGCAGTATTTGGCAGCACTGGACATGGTGCTGATAACAAGAAACATCAGCAGGCTGGTCAACCTGGAACACTCCCTCCTTATTCTGTGAGCTGCAATTACAAGGAGGGCAGATCTAGAAGACTGTGAGGTATCTGCCTGCTGTGAGGTATTTGAAGTTCCCTGAGGGGCAGAGTACAGTGAAATGATAGCTACAGGGCAGGAAGTGGTTGAGCTTCTCATCCCTGCCTGGTACATATTACTAAAAAGAAAGCTGATATGGAGGACTATTGTGTAAGTGTCAGCATTCATCTGTGAGAAGTCCTAGAAAAACAGAAATAAGGAGGGGAAGAAATGCATGAAGAAATAAAAACTGAGGATTTCTCAGAACTTAAGATGTAAGTCCTCAGATGTAAAATGGTAAGCAAGCTGGATAAGAAAAAAACTCACATTTAAATACAGTTTAGCAAAGTTTAAAATGTCAAAAATAAAGAAAATATTCTAAAAGCTCTGAGGAAGAAAAAGCAGACCACTTAGAAAGGAACAAGAATCAGACTGGCATCAGACTTCAATAGCAATAATGGTTGCAAAAAAACTGGAAAAAATCAACATCACATAGATTATGTATATCCTCTATGCAACTCTAACTAATATTTGAAATACAAAATACAAAATGGTTCTAAAAAACAAACCCATGTCTGGAAACTAAAAAGAAAAAAAATACCTTGTTAATGAAATAGGGGAAATTACAAAATATTTATAGCTAAATAATGAAAACACAACATGTCTAAAATTGTGGGATACAAATGAAACAGACTTAGAGAGACATTTATAGCTTTGAATACACATAAATATGACCTAAACTTCAAGAAGCTAGAAAAAAATGCCAAAAAGTAAATCCCCCAAATCAAGAAGAAACCAATAAAATAGTTCACAAGTATGGCAATTATTGACAAAACTAATTCCTGGTTCTTTGAAAAGACTATTAAAATGATTTTAAGAGCAGAGAAAAGCAAACATTCAAAAATCCCAGAAAGGGGGCTGGCTGGTTAGCTCAGCTGGTTAGAACACAGTGTTATAACACCAAGGTCTTAGGGTTCAGATCCCCAAACCATCTAGCTGTCAAAAAAAAAAAAAAAAATCTTAGATGAAGTTTGTAAACTTTAGGAAAACATATACTAAAACACAAGAAGAAAGAGAAAACCAATAAAGAAATTGGAATGGCAATCAAAACCTTCCCTCACTGAGCCCATGCCCTCTGATGGTTTACCAAGTTCTGTCAAGAGTATAAAGTGTCTACCTTATACAAGTTTTTCTAGAAAAATTTGGGAAAAAAAAAAGGAAAAGTAACCAACTGATTTTATTAGGCTAACAGAACTTTGATATCAACTGGATAAGGTGAGTACATGAAAGGAAAACTATAGGCCAACACTTATACATGCAAAATCCTAAAAAAATATTGACCAACTGAATCCAATAGCATATAAAGCAAATATATACATTGCCTATTAGGTTGCCTATTAGGTTCACCACATGAATGCAAAGATGACTCAACATCAGAAATCCATCAATGTTATTCACTGCATTAAAGAATGAAAAAAAAAAAAAAACTGAACTTTTCTACTTAATAGATGCAATGAAAGCATTTGACAAGTTCAATAAGTTGTGATAAAAACTCTGAATGTTGGGCCGGCCCGGTGGTGCACTGGAGAGTGCGCTGCTTGGGAGCGTGGCGGCGCTCCCGCCGAGGGTTTGGATCCCATGTGGAGACCGGTTCCCGCTCACTGGTTGAGCGAGGTGTGGGCGCAACACCGAGGGTTGCGATCCCGTTGCTGGTCCCCGGTACGGGTGCGACACCGAGGGTTGCGATCCCGTTACCGGTCAGTAAAAAAGACAAAAAAGGAAGAAAAAAAAAAAAAAACTCTGAATGTAGGACTAGAAGAGAATTTCCTTGACTTGATAAAAACGATTTAACAATACCAACAGTAAATATCATACTTAATGGAACAATGCAAGTGTGCCAGCTGCAACATTACTGGAATTGTTCAATGCATTGCTAGGGATGATCTTGACTGAACAATAAGACAGGCAATAGAAAAAAATTAAAATGATAAGAACTGGAAGAAGAGATAAATTTCTCTTTATTTGTAGATGATATAATCAGTTACACAGAAAACTCAGTACACTAGAAGGATTAATTAAAAAAAAAGTTCTTCAATATTTTTGGAAATCATCTGAACCAGAATACATAATCTATACCAACAAGAACCACAATGTATTTAGGAAATAATCTAAAAAAGAAGGTACCTGTTCTCTCTTAAAGAACTGCAACAAAAACCCAAAAATATTTTCATATTTTTTACTTTCTGTGCTCTTGAAGTATTTTACTAGTCCTTTCAAAGAACCAATATTTAATTTTGTCAATGACTGCTATTACTTGAAAGCTATTTTATTTTTTCTATTCAAGGATGGGACTAATCGATATTGTAAAGATGTCAATTCAAAGCAATTATAATAAAAATCCCAACAGAATTCTTAGGAGAACTTCACAAAAGGATTCTCAAATTCATATAGAGAAATAATGGTCCACAAATAATTAAATAAATAAATAGTTAAGACAGTTTTGAGAAAGAAGAGTTAAAAAAATCACCCTATTTGAAAGTAAAGATATATTACAAAGCCAAAGTAATAACAGTATGATACAAATGCAAACAGCCCCGTGGAATGGAACAGAGCTCCCAGAAACAGACTTTTGTATATGAAAACTTGGTATAAGACAAAGGTGGCATTTTATATGTAGAGGAAAGGATGAATAAATTAACAGACCACGATGGGAAAACTGGTTATCAACAGGGAGAAAAATAAAGTTAGATCCCTACTAGACACCATACATACAAACTCCAAAAGGATCAAGGATTTAAATATGAAAGATAAACAGAAGTAAGGAAAATTAGATAAATGTTATCTTTAAAAAGCACATAGTAGGTGGATCGATATGACATATATTAAATACACTAGCATGGATACCACAGGTAGGGGAGAATGGGAATAGTAATAGTGGATGAAAAAGGAAAAATGAAACAAAATAAGGTCCTCACTAGTGGCAATGATGGCAGAAAGCCATGGACTGAGGAGTCTGAGTAATTTAATTTTGTTCACCTAAGGTCAACAGAAAAGCAGGTAGGTTTCAATCATCAGAACTGAAGAGTATCGAAGGAATATAAAAACATGTTTAAATTATGCCATATACAAAGATTTAAAAGCTTTTTCTAAACCCTGTTAGTATTTAATAGTTATAGAATCCTTATCTCTAAAACTATCCATGTCTCAACTTTTACACTTTCCCTTTCTTCATCCCTTTGTGCTGAATTCTGAAAACACACCTCAGCTCCATTTTCCTTACTACAAAAAAGGTAGCTTTTCCTTCTTCCCAGTAAGGGAACGAGCTAGTGGCTTGTAATCAACAGTACACACGGGCCCAAATCAACAAGTATCAACTGGTTAAATGTCAGAAATACTAAAACAAACTAATCATGTTATATCCAAACTACTTTAATATTAATCATAACATTCATTTCCCATTACTCTACATTTGATATAAAGAGTAACTTGGACTAATTTTAACATAACTGCATCTATATTTGATTTCATAGTATTATAGAGGAGGAGGCTGAAAGCATAAAGACATACCAATTCTTTTATTCGTTTTCTGTGTCTACTATGTGGATTGTTCAAATGACTGGTAAGATCAAATATTGTTGGTATTGCATTATCTCGAAGAACTGTCCTATAAGGACTCTGAAAAAAAAAAATGTGTTAATTCAGAGATGGTCTTTAAGAATGTATTACACATAAATTCTATGTTAATGATTTCCCCAGTACTCTTTCAACTCCATCTTTGAAGCACAGAGACTTACAGAATTTAATGTCAGTTCAGGTCAGTCTACTATTTCTAACTGTTTTTGCATTTGCCCTTCTGGCAATCTATTATCAATTAGGGAACTGAATTGATGGTTGGCATAAAAAAAATGTATTTGCATTTTGTATATATATTTCTAATTCAGCTTCCTGACTACTTTATGTGTTCTGTGCGTCCATGAGCCCACCAAATCTACAGGAAGTACATGTCTCCAAATGTGCCCTCTTGTAATGTTCTACAATAATGCTTTCCTCCTTTACTTGCTGTCCACTCCACTTTTGGTAATATTACTCAGAAGCATCAAGGCACGGTGAAAATAATATTGGACTGGGATCCAGGTGACCTAGAAACTAGTCCAAACTCTACCTGTAACACACTAAGAGACCCTGGCTAAATTACTTTCCCTTTTTAGATCCCAGTTTCCTCTTCTGAATAAAATTCAGGTATTGAACTAGCTCCACATTTCCCAAAATGAAATTATTCACATACTATGATCTTAATGCATGCCATTTCAGTTATACCATCATCTGCACTTTTACACAATCTACTCACTTTCTTAGTTAACACTGTCTTAAGCAACAAAAATTATAAGAATAATGATTTGATGGGCTGGTTATATTTTTAACACATATTACTAAACTTCTAAGATAAAAATTGATTCATGTGCCACCTGAAACCATCTCACACCACAAGTGATATACATAATCACAATTTTGCAAACACTAAGTATTTCTAAATTTCCTTCTAGTTCTAATATCATATCACTGAAGGAAGATCATTCTCTGTCCTACTTCCTGTTAACCTAAACCAACCTGGCTAGAAGCTGGATGCGTACTTAGATGAAGACGGTCTTCCTAGCCAGACTAGAGGAGGCTGGGTAGGAACAAGAAGTTTATTAAGAAGAAAAGTAACAGATAAATAACTACTATTGCATTCCCCCCAGCTAGTCCAAGGAAACAGTGCCTTTAATTTCTTCCTGAATTTGCAATGTTAAAGACAAAACACACTACGTGCCAAATAAAATAAAATTAACTCCTAAATTTTTTCACCTAGAGAAGGGAGGTTGGGAAGATATAAGGGAAAACATATATCTAAATAGAACACGCTATCTTGGGTTTTATCCAAAGAGCTGCTAAACACATTTGTAAAGAATTTCTATTCAGAGTCAATATTTTCTCATGCCTCATAGAAAACACAAAAAAGAAAATCAATCTGATTTCCCAATGACACGCGGCTTCTAGTGCTGAGCTAGTGATCCTGAGCCTGCAGGGAGTTTATATCAGGATTGATTAGACACACAATTATTGAAGAAAGCAAGAACTACTATACCCAAAGCTTTTCATCTTTCCCACTAAGCAAATGTCTCAAAAATAAGCAAACATACCCACATACATAGTCAACTATACCCAAAGCTTTTCATCTTTCCCACTAAGCAAATGTCTCAAAAATAAGCAAACATACTCACATACATTCTCAAAAATAAGCAAACATACCCACATACATAGTCAACTCTTGATATCTTACCAATTACTTAATAAGGAACAGAGGGATAAAACATTATAATGAATTGTAAAAATTCAAATCAAATTAATTTGCTATTTGCCAATAAAGCAAAGACATTACAGACTAGGAAACAGAAAATACGAATGAAAAACATGCAATATTTTATAAGTATTTATTTGTAAATACACATGCCGAAAAAAGCTATATTCAATTCATACACGTGATAATTTTAACTCTGTATCAAGACAAACTTTAACTGCAGAATTAAGGTTTGAACATAAGCAATGACATTACTTTAGCATCAAAGATAATAAAATATTTGGCAGTGACTGAACTAGTCATGAATGTTTACTGATGCGATCTTAAATGCCAAACCAATGAAGCCAAAACTATTAAACATTTGGATATAGATATCAGATAATCCAGCTTTCAATAGTATCATCTTCTACATGTATATAGAAAGAATATTTTCTCACATTTGGATTAATTTATTTAAGATTGAAGAATCATCTGGAAATTAAAAAAGCAAATCTAGCTCATCTTTTTGTTCTATGCTGTGACTAAACCAATAAAAGAATGAACTATATTTTAAATTTCTCACATTAATCTGGTTTGAATTATCTAATTAAGAGACCATATTTATTATTACTACACCAAAAATGCAAAAATGTGTATGTATTTAAACTAATAATTTGGGATATTTTTACTTAATGTTGAGAATATAAAAGTAGTTTGCCTTTTAAAACATATGATACCTCCTATTTTGGTTGATCATTATTACCCTCTTAACAAAGTAAGGCAAAAATATCCCTCAAATATTCAGATTAAACTGTTGAACCGGAATTGGCTCACCTCCCAATGACTTCACAAGTATCTGCTTCGATTAATTTTGAGAAATAAAATAACCCAATCATTCTTTAGTTTTCTGATGCTTCTGCAAAATGTATCTGAAAAAATATCAAAATTGCTGCATAACAATATATAGTGTACCTTCAAATCAAGTTTATGTCTATCCCAGTATCTGAGATGATACATCAGTTATACCTAAACAAGAATATATTATTTATTTAACAAAACTGTCTTCCTAACTAGTTATTAAAGTGTTTCAAGTCTGCTTCATTTCAATCAAATCTGCCCTATTTGTGCCTTTTAAGAATCACAGCAACAGAATCAAAGAGGGTTAAAAATCTTAGCCCTTGGGAACTATCTGGTCTAATCTCTTCACTAGAAACTGGAGCCCAGAGAGGGGAAGTGACTTGGCCAAGTTCACACAGTTAACAGGAAGGTCTTGATATGAAATTGCAAATTACTGATAGAAATGTTTTTTCACATTATCTATATTATTTGTTTCCTGTTGTAGCTAGCACATATAAACTAAGGGTTGATTCTAACAGTATATAGAAAAACATAAAAACAAAGATTTCCATCCCTAGATGAAGATTTCACTCATAAAAAAGCTCTAGAGAAACTGCTCCAAATAAAAACACCAACTTTACCTTAAATAAATACTTAAAATAAATATATACTTTTATGATCATCTAAAATTTTCTGAAGGCTAAAGAAGTTTAAAAGTGGAGCATCAGGAACAGGGGAGAAAAAAAAAGTCAGGTTTTTAAGAACAAAATAGATATTATTCAGCTGCAAATGTGTCTTCATCTTAAAGTAGTGAGGCATAGGGAAACCTTTCAACACTGATAGACAAGTATGAGGGTACTTCAAAAAGTTCATGAAAAAACAGAATTAAAAGATAATACAAATCTTTCCATGAATTTTTTAAAGACCCCTTGTATTTAAATTTCCAACCAGACAGAGTGATAGAGAGAAAAAGAGAAATAAACCAAACCTTTCTATTACTTACAGTTCTACAGATCATAGAAGTCTCAAAGTGTTTGGCACATAATCGATAATGTTTATTGAGTTGATCAGGGGTTTTATCTTCTAAGTCTGCTCTCCTACAATTTTCCACCCACTTCTGGCATCTATAAATAAAACCAAAATACAATTATGAAATATGAGCTCAACATTTAAATTTCAGCATTTGGTTTTAAGGCAATATATATATATTATGAACAATGGATTCCTGCTCCTTTCCCTCAGAATATAATATAATTTGGGGAAGTTTGTTAATTACAAAATGAGAGATGGAAGAGACCTTAGAAATCATTTAAAACAAACCCTCCAATTACAGACAAGGTTAAGAAGTAATTAGCCTGGAGTCATGAGCAAAATCAGCAGCAAAACTAGAACTTAAACCTGGATCTTCCAGCTCCTAGAACATCCTAGCATCAGAGAGGACTTGATCATTAGCAGTACAAGCAAAAAGTTGCACAGCCGAGAAGCCAACAGCCTAACATTCCCCTCAGGATTTCAACTTAAACAAGCAAATGAAACAACACTGTCACTGTAGAAAATTAGCAAGTAGATATTCTATAAGTAGAGTTTCTGAGGAAAGCATGAAGGCTGTATTTGTTTGCCTTATTATGAACATAATTTATTATCTACGATGATATATACAGACTAGATTGTAAGCTCTATGAATGCAGAGATTGTGCTATACAATCTAGTCCATACCCACTTGGTGCTTAAATATTTGCGGAAAAACAAATAATAACAATAATAATAGATAATGCTTGCTAAGCACTAATTTTGAGCCAGGCACTGTTCTAAGTCCTTTCCAAAGGTGGATGCTATTATTATTCCCCAGCTCAGATGAAGAAACCAAGGTGCAGGAATGTTAAGTAATTTGCTAAAATCACAACTAGATCTTTCTGGCACTCTTCAAGTTTCTAAGAATAAAAGTTCCACCATGGATAAACAGTGTCACAAATCTGAAAATGCATGCATTTTATAATTGCAACACAGTATATTTTTTTAATGTCTTAACACTATGGTCTACCTCCCACCCCACCTACTCCATACACATTGACACTTAATTCTCTCCACTCTAAAAATGTAAAACCATGGTGAAATGTCATGATTTTCAAACCTAAAGTCAACCTGAATTATACAGCATTTTCTTCAACCAAGAAATATTACTGCGCACAGCAATGATACTAAAGATGTCCATATTTTAGCCATATTTTTACACAGTTGTGCATTATGATTACAAACACTTCATATTTCAAAATCCAACTATTAAGTATTAAAACTGTCTCTCTAAAAAAGAATGTGCCCTCTTGCTACAGTTAAATTGGTTTTTTAATTCTTATATCTCTGGAGAACTACACATAATGCTACTGTACATATTATCTCTGAACTAAGCTGAAACAGCTTTGTGATACCAATAGCAACTCAGTCTCAAACAATCAAGAACAGAGATTGGTCATCAGGCAGACAGCCCAATTAATTACACCTATCTCCTTCCACATCAGATACCTAAGATTAAACCTAGTAAAAGATGTGTAAGAGCTCTAATAATTTTTTTTAAACAGATAAATAAATGGAGGGTTGCACAAATTCATGGACTGGGACACTGAATTCTAACGATATCCATTCTTGCCAAATTGATTTACTAACTTAATACAATCCCGATAAGTTTGTGTGTGTGTGTGTGTGTGTGTGTGTGAGAGAGAGAGAGAGAGAGAGAGAGAGAGAGAGAGAGAGAGATGACAAGACTATCTAAAATCTTTTTATATAGAAATTCAAAGGACCAAGAATAGTCAAGACAATCTTGAGGGAAAAAAAGAGGTTGAAAGACTTTTACACTACCAGATATTAAGAGATACTGTAAAGCTTATTAAGACTGTGGTACTGGACAAGAACAATGGAACAAAATACCTTAAAACAAAGCCAGCTTTGAACGGCAGTGAAGATGGATTTTTTTCAATAAATGGTGCTAAGTCAGCTGGATATCTATACAAAAAAAAATGAATTTTGATCCCTAATTTCACACCATACACACACAAAAAAATTCCAAGTGACTGTATATCTAAATATGAAAGAAAACAATAAAGCTTCTAAAAGATAACATAGGAGACTATTTTCACTACCTTGGAGTAGACATAGATCTCTTAAAGAAGATAACAGAAAGCACAAACTCTAGAGGAAAAATGAATAAATTAGCCTACTTTAAAGTTAATAACTTTTCTTCATTAAAAAAACCATTAAAGAGTGAAATGGCAACCTACAAAATGGAAGAAGACATGCAATATATATATATCCAACAATGGACTCATATCCAAAACATATGAAGGTACTTCAAAAAGTTCATGGAAAGATTCATATTATCTTTTAATTCTATTTTTTCCCCAAACTTGTTGAAGTACTCTTATATATAAAGAACTGCTACAAGTAAATCAGGCAATCCAATGTAAAAACGGGCAAGGGACTTGAACATGCACTTTACAAATAGGTTATCAAAACGGTTAAGACACAGATGAACAAAAATGTTCAATCTCATTAGTCACCAGGGAAATACTGATTAAAACCAAAACAAAATATTATTAAATACCCACAAGAATAACTACAATGTAAAAGAAATAATACCAAATGTTGGAGAAAAGGTGAAAAAACTTTGCTCATCAACAGCAGAAAGGATCAATTGTGATATATTCATTCAGTGGAATACTATTTGGCTATGGAATAAACAAACTACCCATAATCTCACAAACATGTTCAGCAGAAGCAGCCAAGAGTACATAGGAAGATACTTCAAAAAGTTTGTGGAAAAATGGAATTAAATATGTATCTTTCCATTAACTTTTTGAAGACCCCTTATATTGTGTGATTCCTTTTATATGAAATTCAAGAATTTACCTATTCTTCTCATCTATCTTATCTATGGTAACTAATTAGAAAAAGAGTTAACATAGCAGACATGAGATTACTATCCTTATAAAGGCCCATTTAAGGGTCTTGGGCTGCTGTCTGGGAACTTGGCTCGTAAACAGTTCCCTACACGGACATAAAACATTTCCTAACTAATAAGGTGCCTCATTGTGCCTAGTATTTGTGCAAACAATATGATTTATACTGAACACCTGCCATCATTCTGGGAGTCTCGACTTTTAGTTTATGCCAGGCAGAGGCTGCCTTATGTGACCAGGCCCCAATAAAAACCTCGGGCACTGGGTCTCTCATGGGCTTCTCCTGACAGAAACATGGCACATGTGTTGCTGCATTTTAATTACTGGGGGAAAGTAGGCTGTGTGTGACCCCTCATGGGAGGGAGGGAGCAAAAGGAAGACTACACATGGATTCCTCCAGACTCTGCCTGTTGTCTTTTTCCCTTATGGTCCAGATGTGTATCCTTACTACATTGCTGTAATAATCTTAGCACAATTAGTACAATTATATGCCAAGTCCCATGAGTCCTGCTAGTCAATCTCTGAATATGGGGTGATCTGGAGCCATCCAACACGGTGACAGTCCGAACGGTAGATGTATTTGGGGAGGAGTAACAACTAGGAGTGGGCACAAAGGAGGCTTCTGAGGTGTTGGTAATATTCTATATCTTGAATAATAAAAACCTTCCCCTTACTCTTCCCGTTCCCTCTAAAACCCAACTAATCTAAGGTATATGAAGTCACAGTAGCCACCGCTGTGGAGAGTATGATAATGAATGGGAGGGCCATAGAGAAGAGGGAGTTTGGGATGCTAATAACACCGTATTTTTCAAAAATCTGGGTGAAATTTTCACGGACATGCCACTCTGAAAATTCAACATGCTATACACTTATGATTGGTGATCTTCTGTATATATGTCCTACATCAATAAAATTACAAAAATTACGTATGACCACAATAAGTCTTTTTACATATGAAGGTACTTCAAAAAGGTCATGAAAAAATGGAATTGAAAGACAATATGAATCTTTCCACTAACTTTTTTTGTACTCGCCACTATACTAATGAGGATCCATAAACTTTTTGAAGATCCCTAGTACATATATGTATGCAGTATTATGTGCTTGTATATATACTTATATACATACTTATATAATTCTCTCTCAAATTTTTACCAATGTCTCCCCTTTCTCAGCTCTCCCTGTCATTATTCTGTTTCCTGTACTCCAGACTGTAGTCTTTCCCTTAGCAGAGCAGAATGACTCCCCCAATCCATCCGCTTTACATCATCATTAACATCCTGGTCCAAGCTATCATTATTTTTCACCTGGCCTACTAGTAATCTCTTCCAAACTGCTCTTTTGCTCTTCTCCCATTCCTTTTCCATGATGCAGAGTGAATGTTCTAAAAAGCCAATGTAAGAATGTCTCTTCCCTGCTCAAGAACTTTTACTGGCTTCTCATAACTCTTAGAATAAAGGACCAACTCTTCATGTCTCATGAAATCCTGCACAATCTGGACCTTGTCTACCTTTCCATTTTTATATCACACCACCCTTCCACTCCGTCTTTACCCCCTCACATGCCTTACATAAATACTGTGCTCTGTGCTCACTTCTGTCCTAGGTTTTTCCCCCATGCTGTTTATTCAGCCTAATATACTCTTCTTGCTGTTTTTTTTTTAATCTACTTCCTTTGCATAGTTAACTCTGACTCAGCCTTGAGATCTTAGCTCAAATGCCATTTCTTGAGGGAAGCTTTTCCTGATTCATATGTGTGTATATGTGTAAGTGTATGAATATGTACACACACACACTCACACATATCCAAGTAGGTAAGACTCTCCTCCACCTCTCTGTATACGGTCTCTGAACACCCTATATTTATCCTTCAATATTATTCCCATCATTATAAACGTGCCCTAGCATCTCCCATCTTAAAACCTCCCTTAACCCTGATCCTCTACATAGCAAAACTGGTTAAGAGTCCATTTTCACCATATTTAGTTCCTTATCTTACATTGTCTCCTTAATCAATTTCAAGGAGGCTTCTGCTGTATCCCTTTCCCTATGAAACCACTCAAGAAAATTACTAATGATTCCCATCCTGCCAAATACAATGGTCACTTTCTGTTCTCATGTTAGTCACCCTTT